CTATATAGACGTTGAATAGGGCAGGCGATAGTAAGCATCCTTGTCGTAACCCTGTACGCACACCAAACCATTTTGTTAAAGCACCTCTGACTCGGACCGCTGCCATTGTGCCTTCATATAAAGACTTAATTCTATGAAAAAATAATGAGCGTTTTATTTATCTTGATAATATACCGTATTTACACTAGGATTAGAGGAGAACCAAAACAGTATGTCCAAAACGGAAAATTTTTTGTTCAACCGATGAGTGTCGATAATTTTTTGTTCGTAATATTTTAACACCGCACATTGAACATATACCACGTTTATAGGAACAACCTAAAAGAGTAATAAAAATTAAATGAAAAACTTCGATGATTTTTTAATCTAATAACGTTACCTTGATAATAAGTACTACCGGCTGATGAATAATTTGCTTTACAAAAAGTACATTTATTAAATTTTGTAGTATAAGGATTAAATCTGAAATAATAAATCTGAAGTTTTATAAAAACAAAGAAAACACACAAATCTCACTGTAGATTGTCTCCAATATTTAAGCCTATAGAATCCTTTTTAAAGATCTCATAATCTCTTCCTTTTACATACCGATTCTTTTTCGATGATAACAGTTTGTTTTCGTTCAATTTTCATCCACCACTTTCTAGGAGACAGATAGAGACAAAAGGTGGAGAAATCCATAAATTAATATATATTTTTTCTTTACCAAGTGTATTTCTTGCACCAGTTTTCCATGAATCTTGTGTAACGGTTTTTCCTAATTTATTTTGACCTATATTGGAGCGACAATGCAGTTTTTGAGATATAAGGTAAGAAAGAAATGTAAACTTACAATTTTCACAAACCATGACTTTTAGGTTAAAATTAGAAAAATATCAAACGTTTATAAAGATCTAAAATAAAAAATTGAATAAAAAGCCTTAATTTTCTTCAGAGAACTACTGCAATGTCTTACTAATTCTTCTTATCCTGTACTTTAGGTTTGAGGCAGAATTTTGCTGATTAAGAAAAACTCGTGAAAACATAATAAAAGAAAAAAAAATCAGGCTAAATCCGCTATAGAATTTAAAAGAATTGTTATAGATTATAATCTGACATCTGTTTCTAGACAATAACATTTTTTATTGGCAATCTTTCCAAATCATCTAATGTTTTAAAACCATCTAGAAGAAAAAAATATAAGAGAAAACATCTTGTTAAAACGGGCCGAAAATCGTTAATTACAACCTTGTGAGGTAGTCCATTTTAAGTAAATAACTCTGTTCTAGCTACCATTCTGTCGTCTTAAAGTGTTTAATTAATGGAAGCACATAAATTTTGTGACATTCAACGTACTTCCCAAACACGATGCATTTACTGTCTAACTTTGTTGGTTTAGAATATATAATGAAAGAGTGAGAACCATTCGTATTCCAGCTTCCACCACTTGGTATCCAATTGGTATATAAACATAGTCAACTGCACATTTTTTGACAAAGTATTTGTTATGCAATAATCTAACTAAATAACCAGTCTTATCGAATAGATTTGTGATCATATGGAAAATACGTGTCTATTTCGTGCTCTTTTTCGGTTTGAGTAATTCAAATTTATTGAATAAACGGCTTAAATTTAAACAAATGGGATCTCATTTCCTGTTTCATTCAAACATTTGCATTTAATTGTTCAAATCGAAAAGGCGCACAAAAAACACATGTTTTTCGTTTGATCACATACTAAATGTCGCATATTTCAGTTCCTTTTCGAACTGTGAGGTGAGATCAAAATCCCAAACTTTTTCGAAAATCGAAGGCACTGTCCTTGATCCAGATGTCTGTTGACGTTCAAAATATACAATGAGACTGAATGATTTTTTTTATTTATAATAATCTTCTTCGAGCACTTTAATTAGTAGAATCAAAACCAACAACAGTTCAATATTAAACCTCCACATCGATGTATGGTTCACCTCTTTTATTCATCAGCCCATATAGTTGAAAAGCTTGTTGGATTGATGTTTTTATCCGAGCTAAATATCTAGATAAAAGAACTGATTCTAATGTTAAAATAAGTACTGCGCTCTAAAATAAGAATGATTTCCGACGACAAAGACTGAACACTCATTTAATTCCGTATCACGGCCAGAGTTCCCAGATCCTCAGGTCAAAAATGCGGAATAAAAATCCCAAAATGCGGAAACTTACGGAAAATTTTTCTCAGAATGCGGAAAAAAAAAACGGAAACACATTTTCATGGTCTAACTTCATCCGTTTTCACGCACAATCACAGAGTTGCCAGCTGGAGTGCCATAATCGACGCGGTTTTACGCGTTGATTGTGGCGCTTGAGCTGGCAACTCTGCCGGCACAGACTCAAAAAAATGTTTTCTCTAGCACTTTGTGATTTTATTCAATAAAACACAAGAGAAAAACAAACAGAAATGTAAGTCCCGATTTTAGTTGACACGTTGTTTTTTGACTGTATATTTTTGATTAGAATGAATAAGTTTAAGCAGATCTGGCGCTGATAAGAAATAATTATAAATTTCAGTGCATGATAACGATGAGTTTAAGCGAATTTTTAACTCAGCTGCACTGCCCCGGAAAAGAACGGTAAAAGTATGCTGATGGCATGGAACAAATGTGCCGATTGGACGGTAAAAAACTAACCGGCATGCTTCAACCATGCCATTGGTACACTTTGACCGTGCCTTCAGCAC